AAATGGCCTCAGGACAAAATCATTAGGGGACTGTCAAGCTATTGGCAATGGTGGGAAATGTATCATAACAGGATGGGACAAGAGCCAGGCATATCCAGCAAAAGGTATAGAGATCTTTTGTATTAACTTAGACTTTGTGAAGTGAATCATGCATTTTAATCTTTTCCAATAATACATGGGATTAGAGTAGCCCAGGGTGAGTGCTACTGTGATTTCAAAGCTGACGCCCTGAGAAAAGTGGGAAGAAAGACTAGAGGTCTTTCAACTTTCCTTTGCTTTTATCCAGCAAATTTCCTCCTGCTAGATTCAGCTACTGCTTAAACAATGCCAATGACCTTCTTCTACCATAGAACACATGGGGTCAGATTCAAGTTTATCCCCTAAGGCAATGGCCTTATACCACATGTGTTCTCTTTCTCTTGTTACATGTGGGTAATATCACTTATACATATTTTGGAATGTATCTGTCATTCCTGGAGGCCTAAGTGACTTTCCTCAGAAGGCACACACTGTAAAACAAAAACAAAAACAGAACAAAATAACAAAGGTAAACCAAAAGTCCATGGCAGTAGAAAAGGAGCAGGATGATGTGTAGTGCTGGGCATAGAGAAGCTGCTACCTGCTAGTTTACCTTGATTAAACTTTCGTGATCTTCTATAAGGACACTATCCCAAACTGTCCTCTTAGTTGATCCAAATACCCACTGCTACTCACACATGCTTTAAAAAAATATTGATAAGTATTTTATAATTTTTTTGTTTTGTGTACATGTATGCCAGTGCTTGGGTTTGAACTCAGGATGTAGGCAGTGCCCCTGAGCTTTATTGCTAAAGGCTGGTGGTGTTCCCCTTGAACCATACTTCCAGATTTTTGCTGGTCATTTGAAGATAGGAGTCTTACTAACTTATGTGCCAAGGATGGCTTGGAATGGCAATCCTCAAATCTCAGTCTCTTGAGTAGTTAGGATTACAGCCATGAGCCACTGGCACTTGGCTTAAATCATTTTCTTGTTAGACTTTTTATTTAAGTTCACTGCCACAATGATTAAAAGGCAGAACATTTCCATATTCCCCCTTCCCTCACATGTGTAGTCCCCCCCCATCCCCTCCCCGCGTCCCCCGTTCCCCCCGCCCTGCCTTCCCTTCAACATGTTCTATGAGAATAGAGCATTTGTTAGAACTGATGAACCAATGTGGACATGTCATTGTTGCTCAGAGTTCCCAGTTCCCAGGAGGGTTCACTCTTGGTGATATAAATTCTATGGGTTTTGACAAATGTATGATGACATATATTGACCATTGTAGTGTACAGAATAGTTTCACTGTCTGTGCTCTGCTTGTTCATCTCGCCCTTGCCCTAACTCTTGGGCAAGCAGTCATTTTTTTTCCCTGTCTTCATAGTTTTGACCCTCTCCAGAATCTTTTATTGTTGGAATCATACTGTATGTAGCTTTTTCAAGCTGACCAATTTCATAATATGTATTCATGGTTTCTCCATGACTTCTTAAGCTTAATAACTCATTTTTTAGCACTAAATAATATTCTAGTGTCTAGAGGCACTATAGTTTTTGTTTATTTAACTGAAAAACATCTCAGTTACTTCCAAGTTTTTAGCAATTAGGCATGTTTAGGTTTTTGTGTGGCTGTAAGTTTACAGAGAGGTCCTATCTGAAAAAAAAAATAGCTAGTACAACTTAGTGCTGGTGGCTCATGCCTATAATCCTAGCTACTCATGAGGCTGAGATCTAAGGATCATGATTCAAAGCTAGCCCAGACAGGAAAGTCTGGAAGACTCTCATCATCAATTAACCACCAAAAGGCTGAAAGGGGGGCTGTGGCTCAAGTGATAGAGTGCTTAGCCTTGAGTAAAAAAGCGTAGGGACAGCGCCCTGGCCATAAGTTTAAGCCCCAGGACCAGCACACACACACACACACACACACACACACAGCCAGCACAAAGAAAGTAGGGCTGGAGTGGCTCTTCAGTAAAGCACCTGTCTAGTAAGTGTAAGGCCCTGCATTCATACTTACTACTGCAAAGGAAAAAAGCAACAACCCAACAACCAACCAAAAAACCACCACAACAACAAAAACAAAGAGACAACAAAAGTCCTTACTGTATTGTTATTTAAACTGTCTCATGTGATAACTCAATATCCCTGTGATATCTGAGTCTAGTTCTAATGTTCGCACTTCCTTTTCAAACTGTTCTTTGCATTGTTGCATATTTTGCAAATTTTTTCTTGCTAGTTGAACATAGGGTAGTGATGGTGGTGACATGCTCCGGGGAAATGTGCTCCAGTCCCATGATTAGGTCTCAGTGTTTTGGTGAGCTTGTTTCTTTGGACCATCAAGTTTATACTGTGTTTTCTTAGGTCCCTTGGCTCCATTCCTTAGCTCGGGCAAGATGGCTGGAGGGGACTAGAGTTGGCTTTTTCCTTTCCTTTTGGTGGAAGGTGGGGCTAACTGAAATTGGGTATTTTTCCTTTGCTTTCAGGTTAGTTATGTTCTTCAGGACATTAGGATCTGGTTAAATAGGTTTTCCTGAAAGCAGACATTATTAAGAAAAACATAATTGGCAGTTTTCATACTGGCTTCTTTCCTCCTTCTCTGAAGAATCGTGAGTGGATTTTTCTTTGATATCCACTGTGATATAGCTCACAATGGTGTGTTTCCTTCCCTTACCCAATGGCTGGTTCCTCCAGAAGTTGTCATCAAACCGACTAGTCCACACAGACCCTCTAGTAACTCATTGACTTCATTTCCATGATTCCCAGCCCAGATGTTGACTCCTTGCTACATTTCCCTCTCTCTTGTGATTGTGGACTTCAACTGTGGGTCTCTAATGTGGGGAGGCAGCAATTTGCTCAATAATCTTATTTCTTTTATGCATCTAAGAAGAGTTGGTGTATTTTTTAGTTTGCTCAGCTTTTAAATCTATTGGTAGGACAGAGTATGGACATCTGACCAGCTGGGCTAGAAACTGAAAGCCCTAAGAGTGACTTTTTAAGCTGGTAGTGTTCACATACCTAAGTATACCCTTGGGAAGCTCATCCTCCCTTCTTCCCTCCCTCCCCCGCTTTCTCTCTTTGATTTAAAAAAAAAATATATCTGGTTTGACCCAACAAAATGATCACAATGTGTGTCCAGGCAGCCCACACTGACACATTGCAAGAAGGCCTAGTTAGATCTTTCTAGATGACAATAAGTACAGCAATATGTGCTTTTATTGGCTGTCAGACTTCTCTGTCTGACAGAGACAATGAAGACAGTTTTTGGATGGATACTGAATTTCAGTAGTTTGTCCTCATTTCAACCAACATTTGCCTTATACTTAACCATGTGCCAACTAACTGGAATGCCAAAACTCAACAAGACGGGTTATTAGTTACTTGGGAGGGGCCGATGTGTAAATAAATAGATATGATCCTGAGTAAGGAATATCATACATACGTGTAATCACGATGCAGCAGAAGGGTGATTAATCTCTTCTTCCATGTGTTTGCAGGCATGATCTCCAGGGGCAGTGAACCTGGACTTAAGTTGGAATTAACAATTCCATGAAGTAGATATATTTATCAATCTGGGAGCAATCTCTAAGGTTACTATTTCCATTATAGAGCCAACCGGTACCCACTCTAGACCTGTTCCAACTTGGAGTAATTTCATAATAATAATAAACCAACTGAGTTAGAATCGGCGTGGCAGACTCTACACACCACCTAGAAAGCAGAAGAAAAGAAGTTCTTTACTAAGCCAAACGGTAGCATTTCCCCCATAATGCTCTTTTGTAGGCTGGCTCCTAACAGAAGAGATCTCTGTATAACATTGGCCCAGGTACCTGAAGTAAGGTTATCTTTCTTAGAGATTAAACTTTTCCTCACTGCCATAGTCAGATGAGTTCTTGAAATCTGAAGAGTTACTCCTGGTCCTTGGATATTTCCTTAGCATAGAAGCTATAGGACTATTAGCTGGAAGTATGGCAGAATGTTTGCCTGGAATGACAAAGCCCCAAGTGCAAATCCTGTACCATAAGAGTTGACTATTGTCTTTCATGCTTATTATGACTATAGTGGACCTTTGCCTTCAGCCTGGGGTGTGGCAGTCCAGTCAATTGTTTCAGGATGACAATATTGATGTACCATATGACTAATAGCTACCTCAAAAACAGGCAATCACCAAGAGTTTAAAAATAAAAGAAGTAAAAATAAATTAACTGTGAGTTAATTTCACATGTCAACTTGTTTGGGCTATAGTACCCAGATATTTGGTCAAACAGCAGTCTAAATGTTATTGTGAAGGTATTTTTCTTTTTTGTTTCTAGATGAGATTAACATTTCCTTCAGTGGACTTTGAGTAAAGCAAATTATCCTCCATACTGTGGGTGGATCCCACCTGATCATTTGAAAGGCTTAAGAGATAAAAGACAGGTACTAAAGGAAGCATAGTATCTGCCAGTCAGCTAACTGTCTAGGTACTCTGGCTGTCACTTCAACTCCTGCTTAGGTCTCTATTTTTCTCTACTCCCTCCAGCAGATTTTGGATTTGCCCATCACTACAGTCACGTGAGCTAATTCCTTATTACCTCCCTGCTTCTGTCTTTCTCTCTCCATATCCTACTGCTTTCTCATTAGAACTCTGGCTAATATAGTAATGTATCACAATTCTGAAAGTGGTGTAAAAGATGGTAGTCTTATCTGAGGGAGGAATTTGGACAATTTGTTTGAAAAATGTGATTTAGTCAGATCAGTACCAGGTAATGCGGATGTCATAGGAGCTCCCTTGGTTTTTCTTTTCTTTATTTTGTCTTTCATTTCTTTTAATTTTTATTAGATTTTATTTTATTGTGAAAATTCTGTACAGAGGGGTTATAGTTATAGTTACATGAGTAAAGCAATGAGTACATTTCTTGTTGAGCATTGTTATCTCTTCCCTTGTTGTCTTAAAAATTATTATTATTTATTATCTTTAACTAGTTGCACAAAGGGGCTTCAATTCAACATGTCAATTTATGAATGCATCCTGATCTCTCAGTCTTTAGTTAAGTGGGTATGTGTTCTCCTGGTTGCCCAAGGATTTCTGTAATCACTCCAAATTCTTTCCCTTTTTTTCTAGATTTATTTCATTAACATACCTGTACCTTTGTATAAGACTTCATGAAGAGCCTGTCCTGGAAAGTTCAGGCCATAACTTACATATACTTTTTTTTTTTTTTTTTTTTTGCCAAACCTGGGGTGTGAACTCAGAGCCTGGTTACTGTCCCTGAGCCTCTCTATGCTCAAGGCTAGCACTCTACCCCTTGAGCCACAGCACTACTTCTGCCTTTTTCTGTTTATGTGGTACTGAGGAATCAAACCCAGGACTTCATGCATGGTAGGCAAGCACTCTACCCCTAAGCCACATTCCCAGCCCATATATATATATTTTTTAAGGGAGATTCAAGTAAATGTGTCTTGTGAGAAGAACAACAGGAAGCCTTTTAAATCTCTTGTTGCAATCTCTATACTGATTTCTGTTAAAAGGCTTTTTACATTCATGGTCTGCTATCCTCAGTAATAGCATGTACTCATATTCTATGGGGACTTTTGAGAATCTTATTCCTAATGGCATAAGAGGACTTCTGAGAAACATATAAGTCCTATCATCTCAAGCACTAGGACAGAGAGACTCCAAATGCCTTAATGAAGCTTATAAAGGCTTTCCAGAATTACAATACAGAGACGGAGGATTGAGATATGCTTGACCAAACAAGAGTACCTACTGCAGTAGTCTCAATGACAACCTAGAAAAGAATGAAATATAAAGGTGTACATTTGTTATAGGCCAGTATATATTATAATCATTATATTATATATTATATAACTATATATAACTATGTATATAACTATAACTCTCTCTATATAAATGCATATAACTATAACTATATATATGAATAAAGCTATATATATGGTCAGCCTCAACTTTCCATGAGATTTCTAGTCAGGTTCAGACCTTAAATAGTTTAAATTAAATTCCAATATCCTAGGAACTGTTGCTTCCTGTTCTTCCTGCTTCCAACTTCAAATAACAGCTGCCTGTCTCAACGTAGTGATGAAGTCAGGCATTTCAGCTCCAAATTTCAGTTCACAAAATTAAATGGATGGGATCTGGGCTTGCTTTAGTACCACTTTACATTTTTGTAGCAGTAATTATTTAAGGTACTCATCCACATAGGAGGTAGAAAACGTAATCAGCCAATTCAGGATAAACCATTTTTCTCTTCAGGTTTGTGCTGCACATGCGCACACTGCTCCTGAAACATGAATTCGGGGCTTCAGCATTGTCCAGGAGCTTTTGTGCTCAAGCCTAGCGCTCTATCACTTACACTACAGCTTCACTTCCAGCTTTTTGGTGGTTAGTTGGAGATAAGAATCTCATGGACTTTCCTGCCAGGCTGGCTTCAGACTATGATCCTTAGATCTAGCCTCCTGAGTGGCTAGGATTACAGGTGTGAGCTGTCGACACCCAGCATGTGTGCCTTATCTTAATAGTCCCAAGAAACTGGGAAGAGCTCACCTGACTATATATTTGTGTGTGTGTGTGTGTGTGTGTGTGTGTGTGTGTGTGTGTATACACTTATATATATATTTCTAATATATATTTCTAATTATATTGATATATAATTAGCTTACATTAGTTAAATAGAAAGAAATTTTATTGTTATATTTCTCTATGTTTATTATATGTTCCAGTCAACCTAACCCCCTCTGCCATTCTCTTTTTCCCCACATCTGATCTTCATTTCATCTATCTTTGTAGGTAATGTTGGAGAACTAGTCTCTGGTCGTTTGTTGTCATCCTGGGAAATCTTCTATGGAGAGTTCCTTGTTTACACTCAAGTGGCTCTTCAGCCTTGGTGACTTGCTCTGATATATCTGTGCCACTTTTGGACCCAAAGCAGATATTTTCCCCCTAAGACATGCTCTCTTCTTTGTAGTGATGATGCTTCCCTGTAGCTCTAGCCAGGAAATAGTCATTCTAAACCTTGCCTTTTAACTCTCATCCTACCCTAAGAGACTGAGAATGGACTCTCTATATTCAAGAAGCATCCTACCTAACCAGCAATGGTGAACTTCCAGGCTGAGGACCATATAAGGCCTACAATGCATTTGATAAATGACAGGGCAAAGCCAGGTGCTGGTGGCTCACACCTGTAATCCTAGCTACTCAGGAGGCTGAGATCTGAAGATTGCAATTCAAAGCCAGCCCTGGTCGGAAAGTCTGTGGAACTCTTATCTCCAATTAACCACCAGAAGCTAGAAGTGAAGCTGTGGCTCAAAGTGGTAGAGTGCCAACCTTGAGCAAACAACAGATGAGGGACAGTGCCCAGTCCTGGAGTTTAAGCCCCATGAGGGACACACATGCAGACACACACAGAGACATACACAAATACACACAAAGACAGGGCAGACACATAATGCTTCTCATTGGCTTTCTGAAGCCATCTGGTTGTATGATAATTTTGTATGGCCTAAGAATGTTATAAAAATCCAAATGGACCTTGGTCCCAAACCGATTCCTCACTCCTGATGCCATGTGTCTTTTCCTAGCCTTTTGCTTAGCATAGAATTTAACACAGGGTGAGGCAAAGAGCAAGCTGGAGAAAGGGGAAGAAAAAGTGTAGCAAACAAATGAGCACTTCAATATTATTATTCTCTGTGTTAGATTTGTAGGGACTGAGTTAGTATGCCACAGTTAAGAGTGAGGAGAGGGGCTGGGAATAAGGTAGAGTACTTGCCTAGCGTGCATGATGCCTTGGGTTCAATTCCTCAGTACCACATAAACAAAAAAACCCGAACTGGTGCTGTGGCTCAAGTGGTAGCAGACTTCAGCAAATGAAGCTCAAAGACAGTGCCCAGGCCCTGAGTTCGAGCCCCAGGACTGGCAAAAAAAAAAGAGGGAGGAGAAATTAACAATATTTATTAGAAAATAAATGACCCTTTCTACCTTCTTCATCCTAACACTGTTAGTATTTACTTGGTGAGAGCTTTCAGGTGTAAGTCATTATTTTGCTCTTTTACATCTGAATTTCAAATATATTGATTCCTAGGCAAACAAATGGATTTTTTTTTAAAAAAAAAGACAAGGTTTTACTATATGTTACTCAACTTTCCAAGTTGAGGATTATAGTCATGCACCACCATACCCAGCTACATTAACAGATTTAATCATGAAATAAAATTGTGAACAGTCAATACATTTTATTAAATGAATAATGAATGACAAAACACAGTGGATATAACTGGATATAGTTATAGTAACAGGTTGTGTGAATAGAAGGAAGGGCTATATGAATATTTATTATTAAAACAAGAAGATTAAATATTAATCTGATATTTCTCTTGCTCAATGATATCCTAATAGTCTTGGGGACCAGTATGTATACGTTAGGAAATGCATTTCAATAACAACTTTTGCCCAAGAACTTAGCTATAGAATATTATTAGAATAGGACAGAAAGAATTATAAAAAGAGAAACTCCAGGGAGGTGTGTTAGAGATACTGGACTTTAACTCCTTGATTGAGGGTTGCTACAGCAGCAAGCTGACCTGCAAGATGGTTCATTGAGAGCAAAGGCTATACGTTATGATGTTTGCCAGTTAAAACGTCAACTCTACTCTGAATATCATAGCTTGCAACTTTCAGCTGGAAGCCAGGACATGGATTGGTGGTGTCTGCCTGGGTTTCTGGTCTTTGGGACCTGTCTCCTGGTTTCTGGCCTGGTAAGGAAACAATGTACATAAAATAGTTAGAAAAGCCAGGGGAACTTCATGCCAATCATTAAAGAACCATTGTTCAGTTGATCATTTTGATATATTTTAAAAAACATTAATCCTAAATGAATGTCTCTGGGACTGTTCTTGCTCTTGTTTTCTTTTGTGTGTGTGTGAGTAGGGGTTGGTAAGATATAAGCTAGGAGAGCCAGTCCTCTTAGAGATGTGGAGATACTGACACAAAATCAGGTGTTCCTTTGAGAATAATTATAATGTAACAAGTTTTCTTTTTGATATTTCTTTTGAGAATGAGAATTTTGAAAATCATTGTTTTGCTGTTGAATGAAAACACAGGTTGCTGCTAGATTTCCTTGAGCTGTGAATGAAAAAGCTGATGAATGCCACAGGCACAGTCAATACTTAGAAAGTTTCATAGCATGAGATTTCCCTTGTATATATTTATCAATTTAAACAATCCTTCAACTATGATAGATAGCTTGTTCTACAAACCAGCCCAATGTTTTATATAAGATTCCAAATAGGTAAGGGAAAAGTATTTTTTGTGATTTAAAATAAGTTATTATATTGAGCTGATAATGTGTGAATACTACTTTATCTATGTTTAAACTGTGGTTAGGGACACACGCTGCTAACTTAATTCTGCAGGTGCATTGGCATTCTTCTGTGGGTGCAAGCCTGTGTGTGGTTATCATGGGAGACAAGGAAGGTATTTGCTTAAGTCAGAAATGATGGTATCTAAAAAGCCCATTCCCCTAGCTTGTTAAACACTGCAAGCAACACTATATTTCAGCATGTAGGCTGTACCTGAATATAACTGTACTTTATACTCGTATGATAATATTTCATCTTACAATGTGCTTCACTTTACGTCATATAGCTGCTATAATACTCGTGTAAGTCATGTGTTGAGCATATTTTACAGGTGGTCTAAGCACATGAATTACCATTCCTTGGTGAAGGCAGTAATAACCCCCATCTACTACTTACTAGTTCTAGCATAGCCGTTTTTTCTTTTTCTTTTGGTTGGTCATGGGGCCTGAATTCTGGGCCTGAGTGCTGTCCCTCAGCTCTTTAGCTCAAGGTGTTAGCCTTGAATGCCACTTCAGGCTTTTTCTGCTTATGTGGTACAGAGGAATCAAACCCAGAGCCTCAAGCATGCAAGGCAAGTACTCTACCACTGAGCCACCTTTCTAGCCCCTCTAGCAGCTTTTTTAAAAAAAAATTAGATCATAGGAAGTGTTACTGTGGCTCAAGCGGTAGAGTGCTCGCCTTGAGCTGAAGAGCGCAGGGAGAGCACCCAAGCCCAGAGTTCAAGCCCCACGACCGACCAAAAAAATAAATAAATAAAATAAATTAGATTATACTACGAAATTTCTCAGATGACCTCAGTTTCTACCCCCTTTGGGCTTGTAGTCTGACTTTCATTGGTCATTTGTGGAAAATCAATTTCTCTTTAGTAGCTGCAATTAAAGGAATAGCTCAGTATTTAGCAGAAAACCTCATTTTGAAAGCCACAAAATATATCCACTGTTTATTCTTAGATATTTAATGTTGTCTTTGAAGGCAGAATCTTGGAAGAGGCATGAAAGCAAAATGTGATTGATGAGGTCTTGAATAAAATTTCCTTTACAAGAATTGTTAAATTAAATTAAAAGAATATTTCAACATTGGTACTACAGTTTTAGATTTTTTTCACAACACTCTATAGTGATGTGAAACTTCAGAAGTTTAGTTTAAAGTGAACATTTACTTGAAGGTAAGAGTCTTGGGCTGGGAAGGTGGCTCAGTGGTAGAGCGCTTGCCTTGCATGCCCGAGGCCCTGGATTCGATTCTTCAGCACCACATAAGCAAAAAGAAAAAAGCCAGAAGTGGCGCTGTGGCTCAAGTGGTAGAACACTAGGCTTGAGCTGAAGAGCTGAGGGACAGCGCCCAGGCCCAGAGTTCAGGCCCCACAACTGGACTCCCCTCCCCCCCCCAAAAAAAGAGTCTTATGCCCTGTGTTCTTGTCAAAATTTTTATTTTTTTGTGCTGGTTCTGGGGCTTGAACTCAATAGTAGGGGCTGTCCCTGAACTTCTTTTGCTCAAGGGGGAGTGCTCTACCACTTGAGCCACAGTGCTATTTCTGGCTTTTTTGTAGTTTATTGGAAGAGTCTCACAGATTTTCCTGCCTGAGCTGCTTCAAACTGTGATCCTCAGATCTCAGCCTCCTTGGTAGTTAGGATTACTGGTGTGAACCATCAGTGCTGTGCCTGGAACTTGTCAAGTTTTTAATGTTGGTTTCTTGTTTCCTTTATCTTCAAGTTCATTTGGCAGGAAGCTTCAGTTTCTATATGAAGAAAAAGACATCATCTTAGTCTGAAACTTAACTATAGTGGATATATGTCAGAAAGCAATACATATTAATGAAAAAGCAAAAAAATGCATAGTTATAAATTGGAACCAGGGAAACCATTTATCTGATGGGCATCATAATAATCTTCTTAATGTGTTTGTTTCCCAGCCAACTCCAGAATACTTTGGTGAGTCTATCTTGAATTTTTTTTATAATTATAGAAAAAGAAGGCTATGTGGACCATCAAACTATAGGAGAACCTAGAACATACTTAATTCCAAGCCGAGTGCACAATTTCATATGCTGGATTGGTGTGTTTGTACTGAACTTTGATCAAACATTGGCTTCTTTTGCTTCCTCAGCAGGAGAATGAATGGTGGTATAGGAAAACGCAAGTACAGGGATGAACATGTGGACACTTCAGAAAGTCTTGCTATTACTGTTTTTGCTGTGTAGTATGAAATCAGATGGACTGGTTAATACAGTCTGCTTTTGTTTAATTGCACTCTTGGAGATTTGCTCATAGTATTTACTTCTTCATGCAACTTAAAACAAGTTTAACTTAAGAATTTTGCTTGAGAGTTCCAAGGTATGATATTAGCAAGGAATATGCATGTGTGAGTGGACTGAGGTGGTTTGACCATTTTTAGACATCTATTTTGTAGCCTAATCATTCCTCTGAGCTTCCAAATTGTGCTTAATTATACAAATAATGGCCAGTTTCTTATTTTTTGAAATCATTTGACTTTCAAAGGATGTTTCTAGGACAGAGTACATATGCATAAGCCTTTCCTTTACTCTTCAGCCTGGCTCATGGGACGTTCTCAATCAACTAATCAACTGAGGTGTGTTAAATCAGAACTGAGCAATCACTTACCTGAGGCAAAATAAACTTATTTGATTACATAATTGATAAAGATTTTCTCTTTTTCACAAACATATTACACAAAGTGTTTTTCTTCTCTCTCTCCCTCTATTTTTTTTTTAGTCAAAGATGTCGATGGGGGAATCGATCGGGACATCTTTGATATCAATGAAGGTTTGTGGACGTTTCTAAAATCATCTATCCTGTGGAAAGTTTGCAATTAACATATTAACATGAAATTTTACTTTTACTCTTAGATTTGGGATTGGATCTCTTTGATGGGGACATCAATCTCGATGGGGTAAGGTGCTATCCCTCAGCTCCTCAGCTCAAGGCGAGCGTCTACCACTTGAGTCACAGCTCCACTTCTGGTTTTCTGGTGGGGAGATAAATGTCTCACTGTCTTTCCTGCTCAGGCTGGCTTTGAACTGTAATCCTCAGATCCCAGCCTCCTGAGTAGCTAGGATTACAGGCATGAGCCACCCACCCCCAGCTTGGCACATTTTCTCAATGAATACATTATCCCTGAAAGGACTCATATAATAGTGTCCTCATCTTTCTTATCTGGATTTCTGTGTGGTTCAGTCCACTACTGTCCACCACATATGTCTCAGTCTTATGGATCTGATTGATTTTCATTCCTGGAGCAAGGTGGGACATTCCCATTTTAAAACAGAACTTCACCAGTCCAATCAACAAATACACAAGCCATGCACCTAGCATATCTGAGCTTGGAACCACAGCAGCTACTGTTTGCTGTGTCCCAAAGGACATCCGCCATGTTGCTTTACTCCTGGCTCTTTCTTACATTCCCTTTCTGCTGTCATGTCCTGATTACTTTCACACACAGACCTCCTACTGCCTTGTCCACATCTCCCCTTTTAATTTTTCTCCACAACTCTTAAATTTAATCTGCTTCATCTTCTTTGATGTTGTTTGCTTCTCATGAGCTTTAAACTCCATGAGGACAAAGAGCCTATTATTTATTATTAAAGGGGCTCCTGTTCTTGAGAATGATGTTTATTTTTAAGAGTGTTATTTCTAAAAATCTACCAATATGTATAGTTTGGCTTGCAATAACCTTTTTCTTTTTTGCATTATTCCTTCTTCACATTTATCAACAAACTTAATGATAGAAACCAGTTATTTCTTCCCAGATAGAAGTAAGGTGAATACACATAGTTTGGGCTAGCAGGGAGAGTTGTAAACTGCATCTCTTTCTGGATGCGCTATTGATTGTTTTTTCCTAATTCACTTAATTAAAGCGTTGACATTAATTTTTGTTGACAGACACCAGATAGAAATTCCATCATTGGAGAAGAATATAGATGGCCTCATACCATTCCATACGTTCTGGAAGACAGCTTGGGTTAGTATGTACCTTGGAGTATCCACACCCACTGTATGTGGAAGCCTGTCAGCACAGTGATAGCAGAGGATGCCTATCTGATATTTAAGGTTTTGTTTCTCTGTTCCTCTGTGTAGCTATTTATATTTACTGTTAACAAAAAAAATGAGTAAATAAGACAAGTAAATAATAAATAAGTAGGCAAATGAACAATTAAACTATCCTAGATGGATCTAGTGCCTGTGGCTCATGCTTGTAATCCTAGCTACTAAGGAAGCGGAGATCTGAGTGTCTTGAAGCCAGTCTGTGCATGAAAGTCCATGAGACTCTTATCTTCAATTAACCACATGAAAGCAGGAAATGGCACTGTGGCTTAAAGTGGTAGGGTGCTAGCCTTGAGTGAAAATGCTCAGGAATGGAAGTGGTGCTGTGGCTCAAGTGGTAGCTTTGAGCTGAAGACTCAGGGACAGTGCCCAGGCCCAGAGTTCAAACCCCACAACCAACAACAACAACAAAAAAGAAAAGAAAAGAAAATGCTCAGGGACAATAATCAGGCCTGAGTTCAAGCCCCATGACTGACCAAAAAATAATCCTAGGGCTGGGAAGGTGGTTCAGTGGTATAGCGCTTGCCTTCATGCATGAGGCCCTGGGTTCGATTCCTCAGCACCACATAAGCAGAAAAAAAAAAGCTGGAAGTGGCGCTGTGGCTCAAGTGGTAGAGCTCTAGCCTTGAGCTGAAGAGCTGGGGGACAGCGCCCAGGCCCAGAGTTCAGGCCCATGACTGGATCAAAAAAAAATCCTAAGTGATTTTTGACTAAATATTCCTGGGTTTGGGCAATATATAGATCAATTACATCAAGATTTATGAAGAGTCTGAATGCTATGACCTTACAGACTAAGGAGCTCCTCTTTATTTTAAAGCAATATTTTCCAGTATGTTCCAATTTACAAAACATAGAACAACCAACCAGACAAAATGGTAGAATCCGGTATTTTGTTACTAATATTTAATTTTATCAATTTAGAAATTTAGATCAAAGACCCACTATTTTTTATCTTTATTATTTTATTTTTTTAAATTTATTTTTTATTGTGAAAATACTGTACAGAGGGGTTATAATTACATGGCCAAGATAATGAGTACATTTCTTATCTTTTGTTTCCCCTTCCCATCCCTTCCCAGCTTCCCCCTGCCCCCCTACCCAATCCTCCCCCTCTTTATCATTTTATAAGTGAATATTAGTTTGGTGTTGAAAAGAGGGAGGAAACATTATTGGTGAGGCATTGAAAGAGTTTTGAGTGCTAGATATAAAGGCATGTATATCAGGACCCAGCTGACTACACGCCAGGGCTGTCATGAATATTGTGTAGCTTGTTACCCTATGTCAATGCTTGGAAAGGGGCACTAGTAGCTTTCTAAATGGCACAAAGGCACCCTGTGGGCTAGTGTGGCCTTGGATAGTAAGAAGTGCTTTAGGCAGGTGGCCCATGGTGTGCAAAGGTATAAAACTCGACTTGAAATTTAGATTGGGAGCAGGAAGTTATTGCTATTGAGTTAGGTAGGTGTGATGTGGATTGGAAAGAAGTTGGAGCTTGTATATGCGTACTGGTAAACTTGGCCTATGTACTCACAATGAACAGTAGAACTGTCTACTGTCTTCTGTCTGCTTAACTGCCAAGGAGAACGTGGCATGCTTGCTGATATTAATATCTAGTTACCAAAACAACTCATCTTCTTGTGGAAGTGAATTATGACTGCACCCTGGTTGCCCTTATTGGTACTACAAAAACAAAAACAAACAGTGAGGAAAATAGAGGACTACAGAAGGAATTCACGACTCTACAGGTGGGGTGAGACAAGAGTGGATAGTTAAGAAGAACAGGTATAGTTAAGAGATGTCAGTGTCCAGCATTTGGTCTTGGATGACTGGGTGAATGTAGTGTCTTCAAGAAGGATGGGGAATCGATCTTGAAGATGATGGAATAGTAAAGTGTGGTGGGAATTAGTTGCTGGTGGGTAGAATTTAAATTGCATCAGTGTCATTGTGGCAGATATAAAATACAGCATTGGAGTATGGTGTAGCTATGCTAGATAGTAAAATATTTGGGGATGTAGTAGATGATTGAAACCATCAGTGTGGGTGAGTACCTGTCACATTGCCTTACATAGAGCTGGATGGCCATAGACAATGGAATCTTACTGAGTTATCCAAGAAGATTTTCTTGAGTTAGTGGATAGCCAAGAATGAAACTCAGCTGGGGGAACATGTGTTTCGGAACTGGTATAGAAGGAAGATCTGATGGAAGTTATTAAGAGGGCTGATGAGAAAACAAAGAGCAAATAAGAGTAGAGAAATTAAAAACAGGGATAATTTAAGAGCTAGAGGCCATGAAAAGTTCATGGAGAAGAAAGATTTTTAATATTAATTAGTGGAACAGCATGTTGTTAACACATCAACACAAACAACGGGTCCACGTCCTGCAGCTGCTGCTGCTGCAGCCATTCCTGCTGTCTGCAACATTCCCCATATAAATATGCTGCAGGGATCCACAATCCTCATCAGCATCTTCATGCATGCTGTTCATGAACAAGGACAGGAACCTTTGACTGCTTCCATGTTGGCATTTGCCCCCTTCAAGAGCAAAAGCAAACGTTGGGTGAAAGGCTGTTTTCCTCTTATCTAAGCCATGTACCCTACTCTTGCTAGTAAAAGCACTGGCATGTTGTTGGAGATGGATAATTCAGAACTACTTCATAGGCTTGAGTCTCCAGAGTGACTGCATTCTAAGGTTGATGACGCTATAGCTGTACTACAAGCCCAACAAGGTAAAGAGGCTGCCCAGAAAGCAGTTAACAGTGCCACTGATGTTCCAGCTGTTTAAAAATGGATCAGGGACCATGAAAAGAAACTCGTGCTTCACCGAAGAAAAATATCTAAACACTGAAAAACTTAAATGAAAAAACCATTGCAAAATATAAAATAAATAAAGGGAAGGAAACGTTGAATCTTATGTACCGAGCAAATGCCAGGTCTACCAAACAGTGCTAGTCCTAGGTTACTTGATTTAAATCAACAAAAATACTACAAAAAATAGTAAACTATAAAAACAAATTAATGTTTTATAGACCTGGGAAAAAGAATTTTCAGCAAAGTACAAAAATTTAAAGTATTCCTTTCTTTAATTTTGTAACTCTTTATTGTGGAATAGCTCAGATATAACAGAATTGATACCTGTGCAAGGAAATGTAATTTGGATTATAAAATTCTTGCTTTAATAAAATTCCTTAAACAGTGAAAAAATTAATTAGTGGAAAATAGTTTGTAAAATATTATGTACACAGCAACTTCATTTTTAATAAGCATATATTTGTGAGTGCAGAATATGGTAAGGATGATTGATTATTCTTGGGTGCTATGATTTTAATTTTCCTTCCTTTTTTATATGCCTTTTCTAATGAATTGGCAATAAACAGACTTTACTCATGAGGTTGCTAAGGCTGAACTCTGCTTCTTATGATTCATGGCTTTGAGAATCTTGATCTAATCCTTAGTCTTGCCTAAACAGTGCCAGCGCAGTAATCATCTTTGAATGTCAAGACAGAGGCTACTTAAACAGGGAAGAAGGATCCCGGCAGCAATGGCTCACGCCTGTAATCCTAGCTACTCAGGAGGCTGAGATCTAAGGATCACAGTCTGAAGCCAGCCCAAGCAGGAAAGTCCATGAAACTCTTATTTCCAATAAACTACTCAGAAAAAGCCAGAAGTGGCATTGTAGCTCAAGTGGTAGAGCTCAGGGACATTGCCCAGGCCCAGAGTTCAAGCCCTAGGACTGGCAAAAGAAAGAAAAAGGGAGAGGAAGGAAGGAAATGAAGACTTGACAAATGCTTACTGTATTTTGACTTTACCTTTATTTTATCCTTCCAATTCCCTTACGAAGTTAATTTTATTTCCTTCTTTAACACCTAAGCTAAAAATTGATCAACTGGGCACAAGGGTACACCATTGCAATTCCAGCATTAGGGAAGTTGAGGTAGAAGAATCTCAAATTTGAATCTGGCCTGGGAGACATGGTGAGCTCCTGTATCAGAATTTTAAAAAATTAATTAAGCTGGCAAAAAACTATTGGTGACGAGGATAGGGGAGAACTCAGTGTGTTTTCCCTGGAGTCCAAGCATTTCCAACCCTCTCTGGCTACATACTCCATTTGAGATGTCTTTCTGTGTGTATCTGAATCAGGCCCCTGATTCAGGTTCTCCTCAAAGCTTCTTTTCTTGCATGTCATTGCTTTCATGCCTCTGTTTACTTTTAGTTCCATATCTGTCCACCTCACTAGCATTCTTTTCATTTCCAAAGCCATGGTTTTGAATTATTTTGGTCCTGGAGTTAGTTGCAAATCTCATGACAGCTCTGCCTAGAAAATACACTTTGTAGATACAGATAAATGTATATTCTCTTTGCACACGGTTTCAGGCTATTTATGGATCTTCCAGTATCAATGTCTTTAGATTAAAAGCCCCATTGTGATGTTTTAAATGCATTTGGTCACTTCTCAGATGAAGCCCGGGATAGTGATTCTTCATATTGATTGTCCATGATTCTCTCTGTTTCCTGGGATAAAGAAATATCCTTCTTACTGTTTAGTATTGCACCACTAATGGGCTCTAGAGAAATCTGAAGCAAAACAAAGAACCTGAAGGATAATCAAATACTTATTTCTAATTCTCAGTTGAAACTAAAAAATTTAAGAATGAAATACTCAATATCCATGAAAGGACTAAGTCACGATCAGTGCTATTTTACACAGTGAGTTTCCATGGTGTGTGTTTGAATAAGTATATTTTTGTTTGTTTCTTTCTTCAGAAATGAATGCTAAAGGAGTTATCCTCAATGCATTTGAACGCTATCGTCTAAAAACATGCATTGATTTTAAGCCTTGGACTGGAGAACCTAATTATATATCAGTAATCAAGAGCAGTGGGTAAGTTCAAGGGTTAGTCTTCTAAGAGTTGTGAGAAGACTATTGGACCCAGGATATTTTTTATGTCATAGCAATTGTCCAAGGCCTTGGTCTTCAGGTTGAAGCTGTCCTTTGCTCTGCTGTTGGTTGCAGAATAGGACAGCTAGATATCATTTCTTTAGCCTACCATGCTCAAAGGCCTGATTTCAAAACCCAGCAACAAAAAAATAAAATAACAAAATGAAATGAGATAAAAATAATGCTTTCATACATGTAATCAAACAAAAATGTTAAAATAAGGTGAGTGGGAGTACCTATCATCAATCCAGCAGCCTTGTTTGAATTTCATCCCTTTTGTAACTGAGTGCTCATTATTCTCTTCTACTTTGTATGTTTCTCTGTGTATTTGAGTTACATGTCACCCAACAATTCCTACTGCTTGAATTAAGAAGCTGATCATATCATTTGCTTGACTGAACTTAACAATTCTGAATTGCTTCTGTGTCTTAATAAAGCTCTGTTAATGGTCATGGCTTAAAAATGATGATCTTAAAAACTTTGAAATCCCCAGGGAAAGCCAGAATTAGGGTGACCAGAGGATGACTGGTACCTGTGTAATAGCTAGTATTAGGGCAAGTTCTCCAACTATCATCTGGCCTGCAGAGTTTTCCATGCTTTCCCCAGGTATGAGAGAAATGTAACCTTCCAATATAACAGGGAAGGATGTAGATGATAATGAAGTGGACAGTGAGCATTACTATAACATCCCTTCTATTAAACTCTCCAAAAGCTGCTGGTCTTCGGTAGGAAACAGGCGTGTTGGGAAGCAAGACCTCTCTATTGGTGCAAACTGTGACAGAATAGCAACAGTTCAGCATGAGTTCCTCCATGCCCTGGGCTTCTGGCATGAGCAGTCGCGTTCTGATCGGGATGACTACGTCAGCATAATTTGGGACAGAATTCTGGAAGGTACATTATTTCTTGTTTCATTGTTTAAAGACTGAGTGTGTGGCCCTTGCCCATTATCTGTGGCAATTGTTAATGTTGGGAAAAAACTCTGATGTGTTGATGTCTTACTTCATTTAGCCTCTGACTTAGTATTAAGTGGAAGCAGCTGAAAGTTGTTGGGGTGCTAGTATCCCAGAGCCCTAGTACTGTGCTTCCCTTAGAAATTAGTGTCTCTCAAAGCATATACAAAATTAACTTACAATTTATAGCTAGTTACACTGCTGTACCATAGAAAACTAAAGATTTCTTGAAAAGAGCATGTTTAGCTTTAAAATAGTTTCAATTGATGGTTCTCACTGGCTTATTTTTGGTAGACACTTCTGCCCACATTTGGTAACATGTTGATATGTTTTAAAGACAAGGCATAGTTTACTGTATGAACAAAGCCACCTGATTTAATTGTGATCAATTGGTGGGATGCTAAGTAGACTGGAATTTTCTTTAAATGTTTTGTTTTCATTTTAAAACTTCAATAGTTTAAATTGACAAACCATAATTGTGTCTTTATGGGCTACAAAATGATGGTTTGATAGATGTACATAATGTGGAATGATTAAAACAAACGAGCATATCTGTCACCTCATTTAGTATTTTTTTTTGTGGTAAAACATTTGAAACTACTCTCAGCAATTTGGAAACATGTAATATGCTATTGTTAAATACAGCTTCCAGGATTTAAATACATCTATATATGTTTGAGTAACCATGGATTCCCCGTGTCAATCCATTCTAATGACATTTGTCTACATTACATTCCCAAATCCCATCTTACTATTTCTCCTGAGTCCTCTTACTATCATATGTATCTGCTGTGGATGCTCTCAAATTTCTATTATCACTGTTTCAACAATTTTTCCCTCCCTTCCTCCCTCCCCCGCCAACCCCTTTTACATTAGTTATACAGGGAAGGGGCTGTGACATTTCTACATACTGTATCCAGACAAAACTTACCCTTTCTATCACTCTTCCTTACTTCCTGTCTACTCCTAAAGCAATTTCTATTTTCATACATATGAATAAACTATTTCAATCATATTTATCCTCATTTACCATCTCTGTTCACTCTCCCTCCTCTTGATGGCAACTTTCCACTTTGTGGTAGAGCCTGTTTTGCTTTCTTGTCATTCAGTTTTATGTGTGGGTCAATACCACTATTTTTGTATTTATTTATTTATTATTATTTTTTTGTTGGTCATGGGCCTGAACTCTGGGCTTGGGTGCTGTCCCTCTGCTCTTTGGCTCTACCACTTGAACCACAGCGCCATTTCTGGCCTTTTCTGTTTATGTGGTGTTGAGGAATCGAACTCAGGGCCTTATGCATGCAAGGCAAGCACTCTACCACTGAGCTACCTTGCCAGCCCTTTTGTATTTATTTTTGAGATAGGGTTTCCCTATGTAGTCTGAGCCTGGCCTGAAATTCCTATGCATCCCAGGCTGGCCTCAAACTTGTGATTTTCTCTTGCCTTTGCCTCTTGAATGCTAGAGTTACATGTGCATGGCTTGATACCACTTTACAGAACTTTTCCACTAGGAGTTCCCCTAGACCAAATCAACTGTTCATATCCCAACTTTGGGTTGCAGTAGATCCATATGACTGCTGATAACATTGTTCTATTATATTGTTAAGACAGGAATATGTACAACACTTGAAATAGATTGCTTGTAAAGCCTGCTCTACTTTATTATAGTCTTTATTTCTAAGCTGAGTTTTATGAATATCAAATAATTGAAAATTTTATGTATCACTTAGGCAGAGAGCACAATTTTAACATCTACGATGACAAAGTATCAGACTCCTTGAATGTTCCCTATGATTATACCTCAGTAATGCACTACAGCAAAACTGCATTCCAAAATGGAACAGAGCCAACCATTGTAACCAGAATCTCAGACTTTGAGGATGTGATTGGCCAACGAATGGACTTCAGTGACTATGATCTCTTAAAGTTGAATCGACTGTATAACTGCTGTAGGTGAAGGTTCTTTGGAGTAACTTGTATTTCCTTTGGCTATATTGGAAAAAGTGATAAGTTATGTATTTTGGGTTTTGTGAGCACTCAGATCCCAATCTATGACTTGGATATAGCATTTTTCTTCTCACATTGCAGGTCTGGCCATGAGATCCTAAAATCAAATTGCGTCCCTTGTTGGAATGTACCCAAGGTTTTTGAAGCTGTTAGTGATTCAAATACTAACCAGTTTAATGATCAGACCATTTTTCAACTAAAATCTATATAGTATAACAGAAAATTGAACAAATTAATCTGGGTTTTTGGTTCAGTGATTTGAATGATAAGGGGAATGTAGACTCAGGTTTCTACAAATAGTTAGAAGAAAATATTTGGTGTAGGTTGCATTTTGGGATTTGCATAATCAGTTTGGCAATAAGGCTTCTGCAGATAGAGGAGGCTCTTTCCATCTCTCAGAATTAACTAGGTGTTCCCTTTAATGCCAACCTGACAAACTTCATACTTCTGTGATAAACTGTTTTTATTACTTAGATTACCATGCTATATAAGTGTTCATGATTTCCTTTTTCCTTTTGTAGCCTCTTCCTTAACCTTCATGGACTCATGCAATTTTGAACTAGAAAATGTGTGTGGTATGGTTCAAAGTTCAAGAGATAGTGCTGACTGGCAACGGGTTTCACAGGTTTCCAGTGGCCCAGAGAATGATCACTCCAACATGGGCCAATGCAAAGGTAACAGCAATGAGATTCTTCTAGATTTCCCACTCAGTAGCAACTTCTTTTTGCTATGAAAGTCTGGGCTTTTCTCTCTCATTTCTTTCAGAATTGTCCAGGATAATCAGTTCAATTGCTACAAAGGGATGTGCCTAGTGCATTATGATGACTTGGCTAATCGCTTTGCTTTTATTTTGAAAGGATATTTTTCCTTGTACAAATCAGAGTTCAATTGTGTGAGGAATCAGTGTGTGCTCAGAACTGAAGAGGACAGTATCTCCTGAAAGAACTTTTATTTTTTAATTATATATATATATATATATATATATTATTGTAAAGATACTGTACAGAGGGGTTACCGTTACATGAGTAAGGTAATGAGTACATTTTGTATTGGGCATTTTTACCCCCTCCTTTGTTTTTCTCCTACCATCCCTTCCCTCCCCACCTCCCCAACTCCTCCCTCTGCCACCCCAAAGTTGTAAAGTTTTCAACATACTGTCTTGTACTTCTCATTGCTACAATGGGTTAACCTGTATCCTTATTTCAGCATTTTGTTATTTCCTTTCCCCTCCCCAAATTAGAAAAATGTATATAAAAGATGCAGGGCACTGGAATCAAATACAGTGAAAACAGGGGTTATACTGTGTGGGAAGAATATACAAAAGAAACAAAAAAATTACATAGTACATTATAAGTACATTAAAAACAACAGCAAGAAAGAGAAAACCTCTTGTGTCCCTATCTTGGGGCTCATTTTGCTTAGCATTATCTTATATGGTCATATGTACATAGCTTTTGGCCTTTTCTGCTTATCCTAGACATATACTAGTTATTGCAAATAAGGGAAAGCATGGCATCTATGTTACTTTGGGTCTGGCTTACTGCACTTAATAGAATTTTTCCAAGTACTAACAAATGGGGTGGTGTCATTCTTTCTGATGGAGGCCATATCTATATCTATATATCTATAGATATATCTATATTTATAGATATATCATATTTTCTTGATCCATTCATCTACTGAGGGGCATCTGGGTTGGTTCCATATCTTAGCTATGATGAATCATGCTGTAATAAACATAGTTGTGTTGGTAGCTTTAGTATGGCCTTGTTTGTAATTGTTTGGGTAAATGCCCAGAAGTGGGATTGCTGGGTCATAGGGGAGCTCTATGTGTAGTCTTTTGAGGAACCTCCATACTGCTTTCCAAAGTGGTTGAACAAGTCTACTGGAAGGACTTTTATTTCAGGCACATTTTCTAACAACTTACAGAATACAAGAGACTCTAACAGACAGCATTAGATCAAGAATTCATTTTAGACTTGTAGCTGGATATGATATATGATTTTTGTTAAAAAATACTTGAAGAAGATATGGCAATGAGTATCCTTTTCCATCTCAGTTTTGTCTAAATTAAGAAGTGATTTATCTACAACTTCCAGGTTTCTATTTATTTGCTCATTTCTATAACAAATAAATGAAAGTAGACTTTAGAACTTGAAGCAACTGCCAGAGAGTTTAATGATCTGCACAGGGGTTAAGGTCTCTAGTAGCGAAAACATGTTTTTCTTTTTCTATATCATTTAAAATCTGTATTGATAGTGGACAGTTGTTCCATATAGATAGAGGGAGGTACACAGGGAAGAAGGAAAAAGAGGGAAGAAGGAAGGAGAAAGGGAGAGAGAGAAAGACCAGAGGGTCAGAAAATGGTCGCTTTAACCTAGTCGGATGCACTTTTCACCTGTTTTTGAAAGTGAGCATCTCTAGTAAGAAATCAAGGATATGTTGTCTTTTTTTTTTAAATAAGTAACCTACCACTAAAATCACATTTAAATGCCCACTATAGTGCCCTATTTAGTTTGTATTTTGTTGCTATAACTGGGTACCTGAAACTGAGTATATTTTGAAATGACTGTCCTGGGGCTTGAACTCAGGACCTGGGTGCTATCCCTGAGCATTTTTGCTCAAGGCTGGCACTGTACCACTTGAGCTACAGCTCCATTTCTGGCTTTTTGGTGGTTAATTAGAGATAGAAGTCTCACAGACTTTCCTGTCCAAGTTCGTGTCAAACCTTGATCCTCAAATCTCAACCTCTTGATTAGCTAGGATTATAGGTGTGAGCCACTGGTGCCTGGCAAGACTCTAGTTTCTAATTTATAAAAAAAATCTCTTATAGTTCTGGTGGTTGGGAAGTCAAAGGACAGTCTGGCATCTCCTTGATATTTGATAAGGGCCCTCTTGCGGCAGTGAAACATGGCAGAGAGCAAGTGTGACAGCTCAGATCCCTTTTTCTCATAAAGTCATTAATACCAGCATGAAGGGCTCACTCTCATGCAATTGTAATTACCTGCCAAAGGCCCCTCCCGCAAATGCCATCAACACGTGAACATCTGGGGAGAGATTTAGATCATAGCAGTTGCCCATAGTGGGAATTTAGCAAATACTAACTATAAGGTGAAGGAAATGAATTTATATATTCAGACCAGAATTACTGTTCTTTCATTAGAGCTAATTTAAAACATTGAGAGTTACAAATGGAAGCAGAGAACTGGGAAGGTCCTTTCAAATTCTGGAATTAGTTATTATGATTTTAACCTTTTCCTTATGAATGGCATTTTAAAATATGATAATGTAGATCTTGCCTGGTGGTTGCTGTATTTCTAATATCTTCCAAGAGTTTCATTAATTTTTTTTTCTCTTTTCTTCCCTTCCTATCTTCCCTGCCTTTTTTTTGCCTTCCTTTCTTTTTGTCAGCTTAAGGCCAAAGAACTTCAAAAATGTTCAAGAAAAATGGGCAGGTTGGCAAGATCCTGTTTTCCTAGCTGCCTTTTCTCCTGTCTTCACAAAGTGGGTCACTTGCCCAGAAGTACTTAGGAATCATACTTGAACCTCTTACCTAGTCGTGTTTCAAGCTCTCATTTGGACACAATTTCCATTTCTCTTTAACTTATTTTCAGAAGGGAGACAACTCTCCTTGGTGTCTTATGGGTGATAGGTGTTTCCACTTGGACCTGGTCTTAGGGCACTTGAAAGACGTTTCTTATAGAAACTACCTTTTGGTCCTACTGCTCAATAATGGTTTGGAGAGTCGTATTGCATTTTTAAAAATTAGCATTTGATATTTACATTTACTTTATCTTGAATCTGATAGTAAATGAAAGTAAGTAAAATGGTCAGTGCTTACAAGCAAACCCCTACTATTATAAATATTTTAAATATGCTAGATTTGACTTTTATGTTATGTCAGTTAGCTATTCCACAGGCTAGCTAGATACGTGTCTCCTGAAGTGTCTGCCTTAAGACTGAGTTAGGATTAACACAAAGACTGTCCCACTGGTAACAGATTCACATCTCCTTACCCAGTATGCTTTCTCTTAATTCTGCTATTTCCTCTTAACAGGTTCTGGTTTCTTTATGCATTTCGACAGCAGCTCTGTAAACGAGGGAGCAACAGCAGTGTTGGAAAGCAGAATATTCTACCCTAAGAGAGGATTTCAATGCTTGGAATTTTATTTATATAATAGTGGAAATGAAAATGATCGACTGAACATCTACATTAGGGAGTATTCTGCAGGCAATCTGAATGGTACTTTAACTCTCATACAGGAAATCAAAGGTACAGTCTTGTCATTCTTGTTTGGGTTCAGAACGAGACAATGCCTTAATGCGACAACTTAAAGCAGGCAGGGGCTGTTGACTCACTAGTTCTCAAAGAGAATATGATCTTGTTTGATAAAGAAGCTATTATGAGATAGATCCTCTATGGGTGTTATATTGTGTGATACGGCTCATAAAAATACAGTGTAAACTAGCTTGGGCAAAATGGGAAGGGTCATCAGCTCAGTGCAACTAGACTGTGGGATGATGAGGGAGGAACTGATCTTGGAAGCACCCGGCCTTTCTCTGCGTTTTGTTGGAGTCTCTTGTTTATATCAGAATAGACTGCTATTTTGGTCCTTTTGGCTCCAAGTTTACCTCTTATCAACTGCAGAAGGAACTCTTTTTCTTAATTTTACCTTTACAAATAAATTCCACTAAAGGACTAGTGACTGGAGCCAGGCTCACTTCTGTAATCCTAGCTACTCAGGTTGCTCAGATCAGAGGAACGAGGTTCAAAGCCATCTCAGGCAAGAAAGTTTGTGAAACTTTTATCTTCAGTTAACCACCAATCAACTAGAAGTGGAACTGTGGCTCATCTGGTAGAGAACCACAAGCAATAAAGCTCAGGAACAATACTCAGGTCCAGGACCCCCACCCCCTGTCAGGCCCCGCCCCCCCCCCCCCCCTCCATAGACTGTAGTGACTTGTACTAAAGGCTATTGCCAGAGCAATTCCTAAGTGGAGCATAAGTGCTCACACTTTATAACAATCATGCATCAGAGATAGGGGCCAAGTTGACCACCTATTGAAGCAGATGGCTAAGAAAGTTCCCTGGGGAAGAAAGGGATGTGAGGTGGCAAATACATTACTCTGCTCTGTGTATTGACTGGTTGGCTTGATGAATTGAGCAAAACCTATAACAAAATGAGCCTACCTTGTACTATATATCATGCCATCCCTCCTCTCTGTTTAGCCAGGAGGAACAATCTGAAATATAGATGCTTTCTTCTTTGAACATCTATAAACAATGAGAAAATGAAATTCTTCTTTGTTTTGTTTTTATGATGATTTTGGGGTGTGAACTCAAGGCCCTTACTACTTGAGCCATGTACAACTTATATACAAAATTAAATGTTATAGGGGCTGGGTCAGTGGTAGAGTACTTGCCTTGCATGCCTGAGGCCCTGAGTTCGATTCCTCAGCACCACATAAGCAAATACAAAAAAGCCGGAAGTGGCGCTGTGGCTCAAGTGGTAGAGTGCTAGCCTTGAGCTGAAGAGCTGAGGGACAGCGCCCAGGCCTGGAGTTCAGGCCCCACAACCGGACCCCTCCCCCACCAAAAATTAAATATTATAGATGTAGACATAAAAACCTTACATATGCTCATTTGTGTTAATGCAAATATTATGTTTTGTTATGCATTTTAATACAAGGTTTGGAGGGAGATCCTTACTATTAGTATTCTTCGGTAGATGGTAATAGACAAAAGCACTGAGGAATCATGGCTTAACTGATAATATTGAAAATAATGAAATAAAAGCTGTCTTGAGAGTTTTTGTTCAATCTAGCATCCATCCACAGAAAATAGCATTTCACATTTTAATTCTATGTTTGTTATCTTTAAGTAGTTGTACAAAGAAGTCACCACTCAACAAATTGGTTTATGGGTACAATGCATCTTGGTAGATGTCACTCTTTCATTATTCTTCCCCATTCCTCCTAACCCATATACTTGCTTCAATTTTCTTAGTTTCATATCATTTCTATAATTTGGATACTTGAATTTATTTTCAAGAAATTGTGCTGCTCATTAATTATTGATATATTGATGTCTTAAATCATTGTGTTAACTGCTAGTTTGGCGTGAATTTCTTATCTGTTGCCTACCTGGAAAGTTCTGAAGATTTTTAGTGTACTGCTTCACATTAGAAGATGTGATATAAGAAAATAATATAAAATGACATACCACATAGTGCTACCTAGTGGTCTAAGATAATACTTGAGAATGAAGTGGAGGTTGGAAAAAAAGAGGTGATACCAAATATCAGATAAGACCCTCTATTGTGTGCCAGCACTGGGGATTGAACTCAGGACCTGGATTCTGTCCCTTAGCTTCTTTGTTCAGGCTGATGCTCTACCACTTGAGCCACAGTTCCACTTTTGTCTTATTGATGGTTAGTAAGAAATAGAAGTCCCATGGACTTTCCTGTTTGGGCTGGCTTTGAACTGTGATCTTCAGACCTGCTGAGTAGCTAGGATTACAATCATGAGCCACCAATGCCTAGTTCAGATATAATGTTTATAATGTTAACTTGCTAGCTAATGATTTAAGGAGGACATAGTATCATATAGACCTTCTTGGGTCTGGCAGATTTCTGTTTTATACCATTACAAAGTTGATTAAAAGTTTTGCATGTGAAGGAAGTATTACAATTAAACTATGAATACGTTAAAGAAAGCACTAGATGAACATTTACAGAATCACGGATACAGATATTAAAAGTTAACATAACCAACATATAATGGCTGGAGACACATAAATAAAGCATGAAGTACTCATGAATTGGACATTATTGCTTGTTTACTCTGTTTTGGAAAAGGGTATCAGATCTGAGAAACAACTATACAATCATTAAGATATTCCAGAAAACAGTCTGACCTCACACAAATGCCCTGAGGTAAATCATTCTGGGCTTCAGAAGTTTGAGAAATAAGAAAAACTACTTTATACTGTAGGAATTAAATGTTTCTTGGGTAATCATTTAACCATGAAGAGTCCAATGTTGACCATGTTGAAGCATAATTCATAGTCCTTTCTCTTCTTTGCAATAATGACTGTCTCTGCAGAAATACCAGTTGGAAGCTGGCAACTTTATTATGTAACACTACAAGTGACCAACAAATTTCGAGTGGTGTTTGAAGGACTCAGAGGCTCCGGTGCATCATCCGGTGGTTTGTCTATTGACGACATCAATCTTTCTGAGACACGTTGCCCTCATCATATCTGGCATATAAGGAATTTCACACAGCTCGTTGAGAGCCAAAATGGGACTCTGTATAGCCCTCCATTTTATTCTCCTAAAGGTTATGCTTTTCAGATTTACTTGGATCTAAAATCTGGGACTGATGTCGGCATATATTTTCACTTGATTTCTGGAGCCAATGATGATCAGTTACAGTGGCCATGTCCTTGGCAGCAAGCCACGATGACGCTCTTGGATCAAAATCCTGACATTCGGCAGCGTATGTCCAACCAGCGAAGTGTCACTACAGACCCATTTATGACCACTGGTTCGTGACTCATTTTCTTTATTGCTAATACACAACCATTGTTCTGAGTGGTGGGGGAGGACAGATGATTTGGGACTGAGGGAATTGCACAGTTGAGCACCTAGGAAATTGCTAACCTGAGTTTTCTGAATGAAAGATATTTTGGGAAAAGATTTCAATGGTTGAGGACAAGCCTCCAAACAGCAACTGTTATGTTGAGGAATAGAGAAGGTACTGGAAATTGGGGACCATCCCTAAATTTTCAGTGTTTATATAAGGTGCGTTAGATATATCTGCATATTCAAATCCAAGGTTTGCTTCTCATTAATTAGGTGACCTTGAGCAAATAACTTCTTGGAGCTCTACTGTCCTCAGCTCTAAAAGTGGGGCAGTAATAGTAACCCCACAGTGTTGTTATGAGAATTAGGAGAGATTAAGTATGGGAATCTGTTGAGAAGGCCTGGTATGGACAGTTCCTCTGATGTGTTCTCCTAATCCATCTTGCCTTGGTGGCAATGTATCTCTTGGAATAGGGTGGATTGGGGTCAGAAGGAAGAAGTTGGGCAGGTGCACTGGAGTGTTGGTGGGAAGGTTATGTTAATCTTCAGTTATGTCAATCTTTTGTCTCACAGAAACTAATAGAGGAAAAAAACAGAATTATAACAAGCTGAATATTGCTAAATTTTGAAGTTTTTAAATGAAAAAGGATGTATCAAAGAGCAACTTACATTGATTTAAAAGTAATCTTCACAAAGGGAATATAGAGAACCTAACATTCACAATTTTCACTCTTTTACCAAAATGTTTCTCCCTGAATGACAATGAAGTGTCATTTAATTCAGTTAATGAAATAAAATATTTCATGCTAATATTAAAAACTTAACAACTGCCAGGTGCTGGTGGTTCACACCTGTAATCCTAGATGCTCAGGAGGCTGATATCTGAGGATAGTGGTTCAAAGCCAACCTGGGCAGAAAAGTTTGTAAGGCTCTTATCTCCAAGTCAACCACTCCAAAAGCCAGAAGTAGAGCTGTGGTTCAAGAGGTAGAAAAAGCTAAGGGACAGCATACCCTGCTCTGAGTTCAACCTATAGCTTCCCTCCCCTCCCTGCGTGAACCCCCCTTCTACCCCTACCCCCTGCCCCTTGTGGGGCTTGAACACAGGAGGGCCTGGGCATTGTCCCTGAGCTCTTTTTGCTCAAGGCTATTTCTCTACCACATTGAGCCACAGCACCACTTCCAGTTTTTCTGATGGTTAATTGGAAACAAGAGTCTCATGGGGACTTGTCAGCTCTGACTGGCTTTGAACCTTGGACCTCAGATCTCAGCCTCCTGTGTAGCTAGGATTACAGGCATTAGCCACTGGCACCTGGCCCAACCTACTGGTTTAACCTATAACTTTAACACAGTTACAAAGGCTCTCTAGACTTCAAAGGCCACAGAGGCATGATTCTAAGAGGGTCTCTGTTCTGGTCAAAAAGCACAGGTGTGAGATCTCCAGCTAGGGGACTTTTGGTCCTCTCCACTTATGAGTGAACAGTCTAGTAAGCAGTCTTCCCTGCCAGGCAATCTCATTTCCTTTAGGACAGTATAAATGAACAAGCTCCAGTGGTTTGCCAGGGAATACATCACAGGTCAATAGCATCATTTAATTATTTTGAGCTCCATCCTAATTGTGTTTCACGTTGCCTGTTCTTTCCTACTACTGAAAGCTATGATGATGCTAAACACAATCCATTAATATAAATTGCCTTTCCAGGTAATGGGAACTATTTTTGGGACAGGCCTTCCAAAGTGGGAGCTGTGGTTTCGTTCCCTAATGGAACTCAGTTTCACAGAGGCCGGGGCTATGGAACCAGCATTTTTCTAAGCCGTAAGAGGATGCAAAGCAGAGATTTTATAAAGGGAAATGATGTTTTTATCCTACTTACAGTGGAAGGTAGGTCAATAAAAATAGTTTTATTGTACCTATTTTTTATTGTGCTGTGTGTGGCCATTGATTATTTACTATGTTCTTCTGAGTTTCATTTTTAGGTATATTATAGGATGGGGAAGGAAATGGGCATGAGTGGGAGCTTCTTTTAACAATAATATTTTTATTACTAATAAAATATTATTAAATAAAATAGTATCGATATTATTGTTAAAAATAGTAACAATATGAAAATAATTTCATTTGAAACAGTGAAAGTGTCAGGGAAAGAGTATAATTATTTCTTCGTGGAAATTTCTTGAGAAATGAATTACAGAATAGCTAATATTTTCATGGACTATATTCTAGGATTCAAACATAAAAATATCACACAAGTACATCAAATCAAACCAGAAATGGACTGTTTTGTCATCTGTTTTAGATGGACACACATGCATATGTGTAAAAGCACACACATCTTGGCAGTAATGACATTGGTCTATTGCTCTTTAAAGTATCTTATCCAGGGAAGCCAATAATTATACTTTCCAGATAATCTGGTAATTTCCATGTTCTATATTATATGATGAAATTCATCTACTGTTAAAAATCCACATGTAGCTCAGTAAAGCAGAGTCTTCCTTGCGAGGAGAGGTGGTACTAGCAAAACAGTGTCCATTAGGGTAGATCAAGATGATACTTCTTGGGAAAAGATAATCCAAAATAACATTTTTTTGGGGGGGTCCAGTCATGGAGCCTGAACTCTGGGCCTGGGCGCTGTCCCTCAGCTCTTGAGCTCAAGGCTAGCGCTCTACCACTTGAGCCACAGTGCCACTTCTGGATTTTTTCTTTTTGCTTATGTGGTGCTGAGGAATCAAACCCAGGGCCTCATGCATGCAAGACAAGCACTCTATCACTGAGCCACATTCCCAGCCATCAAAATAACATTTTTTTGGTATTACTGCGGTTTCAACTCAGGGCCTTGTAGCCTCGTGCTTGCTAGACAGGTGCTCTAGTGCTAAGCCATGCCTCTAACCTGCTTTTTTTCTTCCCCATGTTGGAACACGATCTGTTTATTTAAGCTTACCATCCATTGCTGGTATGCCAGATGCACACAGCCATGTCTAACTTTCCTCTGTTGAGAGGGAATCTCAGACTTAAGTTTAGGATGACAGGTGCATGCCACTTTCCCAGCTATGCATTGAGAGGGGGTCTTGTGAACTTTTCTTCCTGAGCCGGCCTCAAACTCCCAAATAGCTGAGATTACAGTCATGAGCCACTGATACTTGGTAGCTCTGGTTATTTTGAGTCAGAGCCTCACAGCTTGCCCCGGCTAGCTTGAACTGTGATCTTCTCTGTCGCTGGCATGGCCAGCATTTGCCACCACCAGCTTTTTCTGTTGAGATAGGATCTCAAGAACTTTATTTTATTTTTTACCCAGGCTGGCCTAGAATCTTGATCCTTCTGTACCTCCCAAGTAGCTAGAAATACAGATATGAGTAATTGGCCCTGACTCCTAAATAATTCTGTCAGGAGAGAAAACATTTTAGTAGCCGAGAAAAAGTCACATCTTCATTAACTCTCTTTAGTCTTGTTTGAATCAAAGACAACCCTCTTTCCTCCTATATCTTAAAAAAAAAATCAACAAGAAAAAGCAAAGAATGTGACTCTGGATTTTAGGCCACCAAACATCTTGCTTGAATTCTAACATGTTACTTCACCATAAGAAAGATTATTTATCCTTAGCTGTTTAATACGTGTGTGTGTGTGTGTGTGTGTGTGTGTGTGTGTGTGTGTGTGTGTGTGTGTGTGTGTGTACTGGAATTTAAACTTAGGACCTGGCATTCTTGCTTGGCTTTTTTGCCTTTACGTAGTGTTCTACCACTTGAGCTACATCTCTAGTTCCTGCTTTTTTTTCTGGTTAACTGGAGATAAGAGCTACAGATTTTTCTGACTGGCCTTGTTCTGAACAATGATGGTTAGAGCTCAGTCACCTGAGTAGCTAGGATTACAGCTGGGAGCCACCAGCACCTGGTATTTGTGCTTTTGAGCTCTGCCTCCCCCCCATGTCCATTGAAGGCTGGTGTCCAAGGCTTGTGTTGCTCTGAGTTCCAACAGCCCAGGCAAGCACAGGCTTAAGTCACAGCTCTACAGCTTGGCTCAGTTCTCTGCACCTACTTTTTATTACAGTGTCATGACTGTTGCTGTACCCTGACCATCTTATCTTCTCAGACTAAAAGGTTGGATGATTGATTATTAAAGCAAGAGCTGATGCCAGCCTGTTCTCCTATCTTCCTCAGACATAGCTCACCTCAATACCTCACAAGTGCAGCCAATCCCAACCTCTGATATCCTTGACCTCTGCTCCAGTTTCACATGTGAGAATGGCGGCATCTGCACTGTCAAAAATGACAAAGCTGAGTGCAGGTAAGGGGTTGTGTGGGAAAGACCGCCTCGTTCTTCTGAAAGAAATCTCATGGTGCCAGTTAAAGCAGGTTTGATCACTGAAAGTTCATATGATTGAAATGAGCCCGTTGTCATTTCAAGAGCCATGTGGGATGTTCACTTTCCTTGCACTACATTTAGGGCTTCAGACAGATACAAAGACAATGAACTATTGATGAAATATAGCACATTACATTCTAATTGCCTGAAAAAGTTCCCACAAGTTGCATAATTATGAAAGCCTCACATAACCTTGTTCTTTGGAGCATGGCTATTCTCATCTTCTAGATGAAAACGCTGAAATTCTGGGATCTTGGCCAAGGTGTGAAGGCAGCAGGCGAGGAGCTCAATATTCTGTTCCTTAGGCTACTTCTCTTCCTTAGCTTGGACCTGTTGTTCTAGTATCTGCTTAGGTGTAATAATTTCCCTTTTTGTAGCCTTGAGATGCCAGTCCCACATCTCCCTCCAGGCTAGAGTGAGTGAAGTAATTTTGTCGTTCAGGGACTTGATGGTGATCACTAGATTAAAGGCAATCCTTTGACAGAGAAGACATCCAAAGTTAAATGTCAGTGTGTGGCTCCATCTCATGTCCATGAGCAGGTGTCCTGCAGGGGAAGACTGGTGGTTCATGGGAGAAAGGTGTGAGAGGAAGGGCTCCACCCGAGACACCATCATCATTGCTGCTTCTTCTACTGCTGCTGTATTTGGCTTGATGCTCATCGTCACGCTCATTAGTGTCTATTGTACCCGGAAGAAATATCGTCCAAAGACAAGTTCAAATACAGAAAATATAAATCTAGAAAACGTAAGTTAAGTCTGATGTTGGTTATTCAAAACCTATTGGTGCAACCATATGGAGAGGAATTAGGGCCGTTTTACACACTATTCTTTGGTTGGTTTTCAATACTAGGATGAATGATTTGAAGTTCCTATTACCTTCACTTTGCATTAATGGTTCTGAAACTGGGGAAGGGGAAGGAAAAGGAGTGGCGTCACATCTGAATGTTGCTTAAAAGCAGAGTTTTAAAAGTCTTCCAGATACATAAGAATCTCTGAAAATTTTAAGTGAAGTAAAATGAAAAAAGGCCCTGTTAGAATATTCTTCAAAATAAAAATATAGCAGCTGACTAAAGCAAGAGCACATCTTTAAGAAAAACTATCATTTAAGAGATGTATTCTTTCTTTGTGCCAGTATTGTGGATGTGAACTCAAAGCCTTGAGCTCTTGCTTGGCTTTTTTGTTCAAGGCTGTCACTCTAGTATTTGAATCATGCCTTCATCTGATGCTTAATTGGAATAAAGAGTCTCATGGACTTCTCTGCCTGAGCTAGTTTTGACCCTCAATTCTTAAATCTTGGCCTCCCAAGTAGCTAGGATTACAGGTGTAAGTCACCATCACCCAGTTAAGAGATGCTGTATTTTATTTTAAGTTTAGATATTCTGAATGGAAAACACTGTATCAAGATACTAAGTTTTGGGGAAAATCAGCCCAAAGATGGGTAATAGTTGTGAACAGAAAGCAATTTTGTTCACATTAATGATTAGTCTGTTTCTGAATGTCAATCTTTAACCATGAGGCAATAGATCAATTGCTTCAGAAACTTATTAGAAGAGTACTTAAAATGTATACATGTTCATTGTCTTTTTGTCCTCTATTTCCAGCTTGTTTATGGTGCAAAAGGGACAATGTCATCAATGTGGGACCCAACGGGCCAACCTGGTGGTGGCTGTGTCTGTAGGCTGGTCCCCTGGCCCAGTAGGGAAGAGCCAGGCTTTAGTTAGCAAGGCAGGTGGAAGAGGGCATAGAGAGGAGGGCTGGTGAACTAAGTGGAGGAGGCTGCCAACTTATTTTCCTAGGAACTGAAAAACGTGAGTTATTATAAGCATTCTCGCTTAGTCAATACAGATAGGAAGGAATTAAAGAAAAATGATGTTAAAACAATGAGAAGAGAGAAAAAGGCAATCATTACAATATCAGGACAGAACTCTTTGGTCTCTAGGTAATTAAATACATTCTCAAGGGCAAGAAATCAACTGATGTTTTCCTTGGTCTTGGCATTGCTCCAGTTAATTCATGATAACAGATCTTACGGATCTTGTTTAGATCTTAAATCAGGATGACCTTCTTTCTGAGGCCCCTTTGTGTGCTCATCCTAATGGCTTGGTGTCGGAGTAATGGGGTCCGGAAAGGCCAAGGAATTGTCCTGGAGACCAAAATCCAGCTGAAAGGGAGACAGGCCAGGAGACTGCTGATGGAGACCACTTAAAAATTAGACTGTGTCATTGTGATTCACTTAAGGGGTAGTTTTCAAATTCAGAAATTAAGTCATCAAATTATTCTTTCTCCTTTTAGCAATATGCTTTTTGAAGATTAACTCAACAATACAAGCTAGCAAATGAAACGAAAAAGGACTCTTCATCGTGGATTTACCTAAGCTATAATTACAACATCGCATTCTTCTCAAAATGGCTCTTCTTTGTAATAACTGAATGTACTATAGATCATTATTTTGATAAAAGCCAAATTGTCCAAATATCTTCCCTCCTCTCTGTGAGTTTTTTTGTCTGTCTTTATGGAAAAATAGCAGCTCAGGCTCATCTGGATGCATAAATTGTCACTAAAAGGGAGTGTAGCCACTGGAGAGAACTGTCCCAACCACCCATCCTTCTGTCTGGGCCTAGTGTAGTGATCTCGCCGGGGTCCCAGTCAGCCCCCCATGGAATGATCATCTGTGTGGAATCTCAGTAGTTTCACTCTTGTCCTGTCTTCAGGTAGGGAAGGCAGCTCTCCCCACCCATTGACAAATGCTTCCTTCCAAACATGGCTACTTCCTTTTCTTTTCATATACTCCTTTGTCATGTCATGTCATGGGCACGTGACTTTAGTCCTCAAGAAAACTTTCTTCTACTGGAAGAGCAATTTTCAAAGTTCAGGGCCTTACAAGCCTTTCTTTACACTTCAAAATTTTATTTCAGATCCCAAAGATTTATAAGCCTTCTGTTGACCAGTATTTTCATTTTAAGAAACAAAACTGGGACTTTTTTTTAATGGTTGTCCTGGGGCTTGAACTTGGCTTGAACTGATGGTCTCGTTTGCTTTTCTTGTTGCTCAAGGCTGGAAGCTATACCTCTAGTTCTTGATTTTTGATGGTTTATTACAGATAAGGATCTTATACATTTATCTGCCCAAGTTGGTTTTGAACTGTGATCCTCAGTCTTCAGACATCTGAAGTTAGGATTACTGGCATGAGCCACCAGCACCCAGCATCAACCTGGGAAAATTCTAAGCTATGCATTTATTAGTCATTAATAGTCATTAATAAGTGAACAGGTACTCTATTACTTGAGCCACACTCCCAATTTAACCAATGGTATTTTTTCAAGGTCCATTAGGACTGGAATATGAAAACATATGACAAAATTTTGTGCTATGTCCAGTAAAGTCCAGGGTTTTTAAGATTCTACAATGAACATTTAGGCAGTATAGGTCCACTGGGTTAGCAGCTCTTGCAACTTAAGACCTTTTGTTATATAGTTCCAAAACATTAGTTAATATCACTACCGACCACATTAAGAAAGTGTTGGGAATTTGCTTATGTTCATTGTGGGAAGAATAACATTTCTAAAATTGTATTTTTTTATCCAAAAGCTTACATTTTGATCATCAGTAGCATAAATTGTCTTAACATCTTTTTTTTCCTTTCTCAGTATCTTACCATATAGCTCAAGGCAGTCTTGAACTCATGATCTTCCTGTCTCAACTTCTCATGTACTACAGAGTTCAAGCTTATGTCTACATTTGCAGTTAACTAAATAACTTCTTCTAATAATAAAGTCACTTCATTAATTTTTTAATGTCCCAGTACTAGAACCAGAACTCAGAGCCTGATAGCTGATACTTAGATTTTTTACTCAAAGCTGGTGCTTTCCACTTGAACCATAGCTCTATGTCTGACTTTGGAGTGGCTAACTGGAGAAAAGAGTCTCATAAACTTTCCAGCTTGTGCTAGCTTCCAAGTGTGATCCTCAGCTCTCAGCCTCCTGAATAACTAGAATTACAGATATGAGCTACCAGTGCCTGGCAGTTTTTCAATTCACATTTTGTTTTGCCATAATTATAGATTTATATGCTGTGGTAAGAAGTAATACTGTGGGATCCATGGACCCTTTACTCAGGTTCTGCTAGTACTCCATCTTACAAAGTCTGTCTCACACACAGTCAGGATTCTGACTGTACACTGGGTGCTGGGGGCTCATGTTGTAATCCTAGCTACTCAGGAGGCTGAGATCTGAGGATTGCCGTTTGAAGCCACCTCAGACAGGAAAGTTCATGAGGCTCTTATTTTCAATAACCTACTCAGAAAAAAACTGGTAGTGGTGCTGTGGTTCAGGTGGTAGAGTGCTACCCTTGGGCAAAAAGAGCTCAGGGACAGCACCCAGTTCCAGGCCCTGAATTCAACCTCCATAACCAACCAACCAACCAACCACCCAAACAACAACAAAAACTGACTCTGGTACAGACAAGATGGAGTCCCAATATCCATTTCCCTTTTGTTCTTACTGTACATCCTCTGCCAACCACCACCATGTTACAGTCCTATAATTTTGTCATGTCAGAATGTCCTGTTCATGTCCTATTCATGGATTCATACAGTGTGGAACATTTGGGGTTGATTCCCCCACTCACCCCTAGCATAATTCCTTGTAGATTCATCCAGGCTATAATGTGTATCAGGAGGTTGCTGTTTTTTAACTGATGAAGAGCAGCCCATCGTCTGAATGTACTATAGTCATTCATTTGTTTAAGATCATCTAAATTGTTTCTAGTTCTTGGCTATTACAAAAAAACTTGCTGCCTGTGTTTGTATGTGGTGTTTTGTTTTATTTTGAGATGGTATCTATTATATAGCACAGGTTAGCCTTGAACTCGAGATTCTCCTATCTCAGTGTCTAGAATTCTAGTGTTGCATGTATACACCACAATGTCCAACTTGTGTATTAGTTTTTATGTAGGGATAAGTTTTTCATTTCTCTGGAATACATACCTGTAAAGCCACTGCTGGATCATAGAGTTGTTGCACATGTAATTTAAAGAAACTTCCCAAATCTGGAGAGGGGAAGGGGAATAACAAGATGCTGAAACAAGGACACAGGATGACCCATTGCAACAGTGATACTCACAAGACACCATGTTGGAAATGAGCTTTACAATTTGAGGGGGGAGGAATAGAGGTGAGGGGAGGGATAGTAGGAGAAAAGCAAAGGAGGGAGTAACAATGTTCAACAAGAAATGGACTCATTACCTTACTCATGTAACTGTAACCCCTCTGAACAGCATCTTTACAATAAAAAAACTGCCCAAATGATTTGTAGAATGGCTGTACCATTTTACATTCTACCAGCAATATATAAGTGATCCAATTTCTCGGCATCCTTGTCAACTTTTTTCTTTTGTTTTTAAAGCATTTTTAAACAACATCAAAAATAACTTTTAACTGGACCTGGGGCTAGCCACTATCCTTGGGATTTTTTTTCCCTTAAGGCTAGGGCTCTACCTCTTGGGTCATAGCTCCACTTCAGGCTTTCTGCTGGTTTATTGGAGGTAAATTTCACAGACTTTTCTGCCCTAGTTGGCTTTGAACCTCAGACCTCAGCCTTCTGAGTAGCTAGAATTACAGGCATGAGTTGAGGCCCAACATAAACAAACAAGTCATTTTAAAAAACATAGACTTCTGTTTGTTTGTGACAGGGTCTTGTTATTAGCCCAGGCTGGCCTGAAACTCACAATCATCTTGCTTCTGACTTCTAAGTGCTGGATTACAAGAACGTACGATCAGGCCCACCTTATAGTCTTCATTTTTAGAGCAGTTTGAGCTCCTCAACAAAACTGAGCAGCAATATGTAAGTGAGCCAGCACTTAGGAAAAGCTGCTGTTGTTAGAAGAGAAAATACAAAGGAATGATGGAAGGGAAGGGCAGGGAAGCAGGAGGATGAATCTTCAATGAGGACAAATTATTCTGAGAAGTAGGGAGAGGGGATGGAGGACTAGTTAAAAGATTTTTTTGTTGGTTGTGGGGCTTGAACTCAGGGCCTGGCAGCCGTCCCTGAGCACCTTTGCTTAAGGAAAGCACTCTACCACTTTGAGCCACAACTTCACTTCTGGTTTTCTGGTGGTTCATCGGAGATAGTCTCATAGGCTTTCCTGCCTGGGCTGGCTTTGAACTGCAATTCTCAGATCTCAGCCTTCTGAGCAGCTTGGGTTACAGGCATAAGCCACCAGCTCCTGGTGAAAGTAGTTTTTAAATACAAGTCTGAGAGCAAAACTAAAATGCACACATGCTTTTCCTTACAATAAGTGGCTTGGGTGGTTCACAGTAGCAGTCCTGGTGAAGAAGATGTGGCCCTGCGAGGTTGGTGACGTTTATGCCATTGTTTCTGCATGAAAGTCATGAACATTTGTGCCACAGCCTTTCTTGTCTCTCAGTAAGGTTCTTAGATGATTAACAATACAAAATGATGGCAAGCTGCTACTGCTCCCTATTAAGAAGTTCCCAAATGGAGATAGAGGTAATTTTTAAAAAATTGTTATATTTTTATTCTAGGACAAATGGAAGAAAAACATTTTTGCTGTTAGTTTCAGATTTGAAGCTTCTGAATAACGTAGGGAGTTTTTTGGGTTTTTTTGGTGCCAGTGATGCAGGCCCAGGGAAAGTCCCTGAGCTCTTTTGTTCAAGGTTAGAGTTTTACCACTTGAGCCACAGCTCTACTTCCAGCTTTTTATGGTTATTTGGAGATAAGAGTCTTATAGATCTTTCCTACTAGGCTGGCTTCAAATGGTGATTCCCAGGTCTCAGCCTCCTGAGTAGCTAAGATTACAGGTGTGAACCATGGACTCCTGGTGGTGAAGGGATTTTGTTTTGCAATTGATTCTAGGCTATGACTGAGGCATGCAAACGTTTACTTAGCTCTGTTATCAAATGGTTCCTCTTTTTCCATTCTACAAAAACTCCCATCCCACACTATTATCCTTAAAATGAGAGAGCAAAGGAAACCATCCCAGTTGCCACGGCCCAGGGCCTGCTGTGGTAGCCACACCAGGATTCCTTTCACCATGGTGTCTGTGATTATTTAAGACAAGTGTCCTCAGGTAGAATTAACTGCTTTCCTGGATAACAGTATGCTGTACTCAAAGCAGCATTTTCCAGCCCCATGCCCCCACGGCAGCCAGCTGTCAAGCTATGCGTGTGAGGACCATAGTTGAAAGTTTGTGTTGTTACGTGTTTCTCCCAACAAGAAAGGAAGAGTGTATCTGGAAACCATCTAAAGGGTACTGCCCTGTCCTTGGAGTAAAATCACAGTTCCCAACTTGTAGGGCCACCAGTTTTAAAATTATGGAGGCTTAAAGAATTTGAAAAGTGAGATTTTCAAAGCCTTTAACATTTTATACATAGTGACTTATGAATACCTTTAATAG